AACTCATGAAATATTATGCAAAAAATTAAATGAGTATAATTTTATAGACTCACTCTCACATTGACATTGGCTAGGAACCAACTCATAAGTAGCCCTCCATTGGGTTCCTAAGGCTGTAAATCGCATGGGAAGAGACTGCCCATCTTTCTCCTGAGGAGCTGCTGGTGAGGAGAGGACCAGCCTTTGGGTTAGCAGTGCAACACCCTGTGGCCACCTGAGTTCCCCAATTTTATTATTATTAAATTAAATAGCCAAATAAATATGTCAATATCCTTCAAAATATAGGCAAATAATATACTGATTTATAATACTGGATTTTTCCACTATCGCGTGTAAAAAAATTTATTCTGCCTCTTCCATGCTTTTCTGACACTATTGTTTCTGTTGCCACAGAAGCCACTCAGACATTTAACATTCTTACTGAGAGTATCCTGTCTTTTCTTCTATGTATATTTTCAATATAACCATTATTTAAAAGAAATCATTTGTCCTGGAATTACAGGACAGTTATCTCAAAAACAAACATTTGTCCATCTGTCTGTTTGCTTAAGCATATGCGGTCCAATTTTTACAGTTGTGAGGGAGACTACACCCTGGGAATGAATACCTTATCAGTGTTACGCCTTGCCTATTTTATGGACTCGAACTAATGACTTCTAAAAGAATTCAATGCCAGCACCAATCAAGGTTTATTGATTGTAAATGGAAAAAGAATCAGACTATGAGAGATTTCAGAATATTAGTAGGTTTCTTTATTTGAAAGATAAGGTTGGGAAGAAAACCAAATATCATTTTACAGTCAGTCTGTGCACCATAGGTCACACTAAGAAAATGATAACATTTGCACCACAAACAAAGATGGCTGCACAGGGATGGTCAGAATAAACAATGAGAGCTCTATGATATCATTAGGCCCCAGAAGAAAATCCAAATCAATCACTGAGGCAGCACATTGCCGTGGAACAAAGACTGAACCTTGGCTCTGCCACAGGAGATGTGTGAATTTGGCTAACTTATTGAGCCTTGCTACACTTCAGGTGCCACATCTGAAAGATGGTAATAAGGACTAGTACCCAGAGAATTCTTGTGAGGATTAATTAGACTAATTCACGTAAAGGACAGCATACGTCAATAAATCCTAGCTTCAACATTACACCTAATAGAAAGCAAAGCAAAAAAACAAAAAACAAACCACACACACAAAACCTCCCCACACCCCAAACTCAAAACGACTCTCGAAAAAAAACATCTAAGCGTAGAATACCAAAGTGCCCCTCACAGCGCAGGACAATCACTTCACAGTGAAGCTCATCAGGCAACTAGTCCTGTTTCACACCAGAAGCATCAACTCAACTTTTTTAGGTCAAAGATGAGGATCGCTAGGGAGATGAGAAAACCTTCATGAAAGACAGACTAAAACAAAACATATAAAAAATGTAGGACAGAAAGGAAATTAGCAAGAAGACATAACTTCGGGGATATAATAAGCAGGAGTGTCATCCACTTCCTAAACAACATGCCTCTAGAAACTCCATGAACTTGGAGAAACAACGATAGTTCTACAACAGGGTTTAGGTCTTTTGTTCATAGGGTCGCTATGAGTCCTGCTTGACTCAGTGACAATCAACAACAGCAAAACAACTTAGAAGGAAGAGATACACTGTTGGAAATACAGGAAAGTGTTAAAAAGATAACTGTTTGTATCGATGTATATAGCTATAATAGATACACAGAAGCTCTGACAGTCCAATAAGTAAGGAGTGTGCTGCCAAACCAGACAGTTTGGATCTACCAGTTGCTCCATGGGCAATCTCTTCCCTTAAAATTTACAGGCCCTGGAAACCCCGCTAGAGTTTTCTCTATGTTCTAGCATTTTAACTATGGGTCAATTATGATGGCAAACAACAAGAGTTAATAAATAATTTTGTTGTAAGATACCAATGAATCAGCTCCAATTCATAGTGACCCTCCACACAACAGAACAAAACCTTTAAGAAGATAAACTGAGCGAAAGAGAAGGCAATATAAAATAAGGGATTGATTAGGTATTATAATTAATTAAGCTAATTGATGGCAATTAATACTACAAAAGAAAATATCTGAGAGATTATATGTAAAGCCAACATGACATGTAAACCTTCACACTCAAATCAAAACCTTTTTTTTAAAAAGAACCAAACCCTGCCCAATCCTACCGCATCCCCATGATCTACATGATGTTCACATCCCCTGCTGCAGTCACTGTGTCAGTCACTCTGGTGAGGGGCTTCCTCTCTTTCATTGACCCTCTTCTTTTCCAAATGTGACGTTCTTTTCCAGGAACTTGCCCCTCCTGATAACATACCCAAAGTATATGAGATGAAGTCTCCCCATCCTTGCTTCTAAGGAGTAGTATGGCTATACGTCTTTCAAAACAGATTTGTTTATCTTTTTAGTTCTCCATGGTATAATCCATGGTATATATGGTATGTCAGCATCACAATGCCAAGGCATCAATTCTTTATCCTTCTCTACTCAGTGTCCAAATACCACATACATAGGAAGCAAATGAAAAGATGGTAACTTGGATCAGGCAGACTTTAGTCTTTAAAATAAGAACCTTGCCCTTCAGTACTTTAAAGAATCCTTGGTAGAAGATCTCCGGTGCAATACATCTGTCTTTTGATATCTTAACTGCTGCTACCATGGATGCTGGCTGTGGAGCCAAGCAAAATTATATCAGTGATAACCTCAATCTTTTCCTCATTCACCATGATGTTTCTTACCAGCTCAGTTGTGAGGATTTTTGTTTTCTTGATGTTAACAGTTAACCAACACTGAAGGCTGCAGTATTTGATCTTAAGTGCTTAAGTCTTCTTCATTTTCAGCAAGTAAGGTATGTCTTCTGCACGTTTCAGGTTGCTGATAAATATTCCTCTAATCCTGATACTATATTACTCTTCACATAGTTCAGGTTTTCAGATTATTTGCTCAGCATAAGTACTGAAAAGATACAGTAACAGAGCACAACCCTGATGGATACCTTTGTGTTTGTAAATGATGCCGTGTCTACATGTTCTGTTTAAACAACGGTCTCTTGGTACATATTACCCATGAACACAATTAAGCACTCTGGAATTTTTATTCTTTTCCATGTTATTATAATTTATTATGATCTATACAGTCAAATGCTTTTGCTCAGCCAATAAAACACAAATAACCATATCTCTGCTATTTTTCTGCCTTCAGGAGAGATCCATTTCCCATCAGTAGTGATGTCCCTCATCCAAAACTTCTGAATCCAGTTTCATTTCTGTCAGATTCTTGCACTGTTTCAAGCCTTTTAAAAATAATTTTCAACAAAATTTTACTTGTATATGATATTAGCTATATCATTTGACAATTTTTGAATTGTGCTGGATTTAAAAAAAATAGGCACAAATATCGCTCTCTTCCAGTTGGTTAGTCAGGATACTGTCATCCAAATCTCTTAGTGCAATAAGTCTCCTGATTTCCTGACTGCTAGCTAGTATGTATTGATGATGGATCCAAATAAGGTGAAGTTGTTGACAGTTTCAATTTTTTCTCCTTCTTGACAGTTTCAATTTTTCTCCCTCTAGTATGATATTGCCTATCCGTTCAGTGGCTAGTATTTTTGTTTTCTTGATGTTGAGATGTAGTCCATATGAACATATGTTGTTAGGTGCCATCAAATCAACTCATTTATAACAAACAATCCTATATACAACAGATCAAAACCTTCCCCTATCCTGTATCCTCCTCTAAAGGGGGTCCAGAGGCCTGGGGAAGGAGTTGGGTGCCAGATGAAGGCACACAGTCTGAATGAACTCCAGATGAGGAAGATGGGCAATCTTCTATGTATGTGCTTTACTGTTTCTGAAAACCCACTGGTGGGTCTGCTATGAGTTGATCCCAACTTGACGGCATATAACAACAAAGCCATGCATGCCTTAAACTTTTCCATGCTTAAGCTCACTGTTGCAATCACTGTGTCAGTCAAATTTGTTAAGGGTCCTCCTCTCTTTCTCCAGCCCTTGCTTCACTGGTCCTTCTTGACAAAGTGACCAAAGTATGTCAGAAGAAGTCTCACCATCCTCGACGCTAAGTAGCACTCTAACTGCACATCTGCTAAGAGAAATTCCTCTGTACACAAACACACACGCAAGCAAACTATCTTCTTAAATTGTTTTAAAAAGGAAGGATTGAACTTTCTAGACTAAGGTGTATTGAACTTTGTTGTTAGTCATCAAGTCAGTACTGACCCATAGCTCCAATGGGTTTTCAGAGGCAGTAAAAGCTGGGCCCACCTTTCTTCCCCAGAGCCACTGGTGGATTTGAACCATGTGTCTTTAGGTTGGCAGTGCAGCTCCTTACCACTAGGTCACCAGAGCTCCCTATATAAGGGAATAGGAGTCAAAAGGAATGATGCAGTATTTTTTAAGGGTTATCTCTGGGTATGGAATTATGAATTTTCTTTCTTACTCTTTTCCAAATTTTCTACAATGAACAAATATTATGTTTACTGTCAGAAAACAATCTTAATATAAAAAGATCTATTCTTAGAGCTCCTGGCTTAGATTTCAATGACTCTATTTCTTATCTGTGTTCATAATGCCACACTCTGTCTCTGAACTGAAAGAAAAGCCCTGCTGGTCAGCACAAATCCTTCTCCCAGAGGATGCCAGGGCTCTGGAGAGAACAAGCACTCCAGGGTTCCCAAACCCCGCTGCATTTCTGCTTATGAATGGTGTCCTGTCCTGTTTGCTCAGCTAGTGACCTCTTATTTTCCAACACACTCCCAGACATTGACACTGGAAGAAAGGAGGGGGGGGAATTGACAATTCTTCTGCTAGATACATTTTTCTATCCGTTATTATCTTCTATCCATCACTACAGTTAGCATTTATTTTAATAAGAACTGATGATGCTCCAGTTTGTCTTCATTCTGTTTTTACTGAACACTGTGTCTGAGGCTTTGATTTCCCTTTTGACAGACTTACCTGTGGAGAAGATGAACACTGTATTGTCCCAGAGCCCATGCTTTCTTAAGGCTGCAGTGACATTTCCTACTGCTTCATCCATAAGTGACACCATTCCTGCATAATGACGCCTATTCTTGTCTTGAATAAAGTCGTATGGCTTCAAATATTCCTCAGGGACTTGAAGGGGCTCATGGACAGACTGGAGAGCAAGGTACAGAAACAAAGGCTGGAACGAGAGTGAGTGTAAATCAGTAAAGAGGCCATAGTAACATTAAATACAGAACAGTACTCTCTAGATTTACCAAAACAAACAAAAACTACAACTTCACTAACATTAAGTCTATTCTACTCCTAGTGACCTCCTAGGATCGAGCAGACCTACCTCCCAGGGTTTCCACAGGGTCTTCTTGTAAATCTCTATGGAAGCAAATGGCTGTATCTTTCTCCTGTGGGAAGGCAGGTGGGTTCTGAACTACTGAACTTTGAGTTAGAACCACTGCACCATTAGGGCTTCTCCCAGGTTTATCGGTTCATGGAAATAATGTCAACCTAACTTATAGAATGCCAAAACATATTTGTGAGTTATATATTTGATAATAGATTTGCATCCAGATTATATAAAGAATCCAGCTAAATTTTTTTAAATGGGTAAGGAATTTGAGTAACTATTTCTCCAAAGAAAATATACAAACGGCCAATAAAGCACACAGAAAGATAAGCCAACATCATTAGATATGAGGAAAATTCAAATCCAAGCGACCCACCAGGATGGCTATAAATTTAAAAATGAAAAATATATGTCGGTGAGGATTTAGAGAGATGGGAACCTACCTCAACTGCTCGTGGGAATGTAAGACAGGATAGCACTTTGGAAAACAGTTTGGCAATTTCTCTAATTGCAAATTATACAGTTCCATCTACACAAAAATTGGGATACTAATGTTCATTATAGGCCTATAAAAGCCTAAAGCAGAAAAAACCCAAATTTCTAAAAACTAATGGATAAACAAAATGTAGTATATTTTCAGCATTGTGAAACAATAAAATGATTATTAAATGAAATGTCATAATGTGGATGAGCCTTAAAATCATTATTTCAAATCAAAGAAGACAATAAAAAAATAGACTATTATTTCCTTAGTTGAAATGTTCAGAATAGGCTAATGTATAAAAATGCAAAGTAGATCAGCAGTTGCCTAAGGCTATATGAGGGGAGTAACTGCTGTTGGGTACGTTTGAAGGTTCTTTAATGGGAAGGATCTGGCAGGGACCTGAAAAGATAAGGTAATGACAGGCATGGTCTAAAGGTGATTAATTTTATAAAACATAATGCATGGGAATGACTATGAAACACAATGTGAATGAAGAATACTGTGAATCACAACTTATGTAAACTCTGTAAACAAACTAATATAAAATTATAAAAAAATAATAAAAAAGTGATGAAAATATTCTAAATGTAGATTGTGGTTACAGTTGCACAATTCTATATTTATCTTTTGTTGTTGTGTTGTTCTGTGCCATTGAGTAGCCTGTGATTCATAGCAACCCTATGTGCAATAGCTCTGAAGCCTGTCCTGTCCTGAGCCAGTCTCACTGACTCAGACACACCTATCCCATCGCCCCGGTTACTGTATGACTCCATCTCATCCATGGTCTTCCTCTCCTGTGCTGTCTCTCCACCCTTCTGACCATGATGTCCTTCTCCAAGTAATCCTCTCTGAGAAAGATTTATTTGTTTTCTTGGTATGAAAACAAGTGATATGTTCAAGTCCATGGTATGTTCAAGACTCTTCTCCAGCACCATAACTCAAAGGCATCAATTCTTCTATAATCCTTAGTCACTATCTAGTTCTCTGATGCATAGCAAGTACTTGTTTTTGTGGGGGGGGGTTTGTTTTGTTTTGTTTTTTATAGCAAGTACTTGTGAAGACCATGGCCTGGGTCAAGGACATCATTGTTGCTTCTCAGTGCTCTAGAGAGGACCCTGACACCAGATTTACCTAATATAATTCATCTTTTGATTTCCTGACTACTGGTGCCAAGAGTGTTGACTGTGGAGCCGAGCAAGCTCTAACTGTTAACACTCTCAATCTCTTTTCCATCCATAATGGTGCAGCCAATTGGCCTGGTAGTGAGAAACTTTGTAGAATCTTTGCCTTTTTTAAGTGGAGCTTCAAATCCATAGTAAAGACTACAATCCTTTTACCTTATGCACCAAACACTTCAGGCCTTCTTCAGTTTCAGCAAGCAGGGTTGTTTCATCTGCATTACACAGGTTGTTGATGAGTCTTCCCCCAATCCTGATGCCACATTCCTCTTCATAAAGCCCCACCTCAAGAATGATCTTTTGTGCATATAGAGCGAAGAGATATGGAGACAGGTTGCATCCTTGACATATTCCTTTCTTGATTTTGAATCATGCAGTGCTTCTCTGTCCTGTTCTGAAGACTGCTTCCTGGTCCAACTATGGTTTGCATGAGCACAATCAAGTGTTCTGAGATTCTCATTCTCCTCAAGATTAAACACAATTTGTTGTGATCCACACAGTCAAATGCCTTTGCACAGTCAACGAAACACACATAGATATCCTTCTGGTACGCTTTGCTTTCTGCCAAGATCCATCCGACATTGTCCATTAGTGATTGACTTATTTGACTAAGTGTAATGTCTTCTAGATTCATCCGTGTTATGCAGTGCTTTGTGAATTCTTGTTTTTCAGTATGGTATTTTTCTCTATCCTGTGAGTGGATCATAATTTTTTTATCCATTCTGTTGTTAGCGAGGAGTTGGGTTATTTCCATCTTTTTGCTATTGTAAATAGTGATCCAGTGAACACAGGTATACATATGTCTGTTTGTGCCATGGAATAAATGCCGTGTAGTAGGATTGCTGGATCAAATAGTATTTCTTGTCACAACTTTCTAAGTAAGTGCTAAACTGCTTTCTATGTTGCTGACACTGTTTTTGTTATATGCTACTGAGTATGACTCATAGTGACCCTATGAAGAGCCAATCTGCACCCTGCCCTATCCTATGTCGTCCTCATCATCTCTGATACACTCAAGCTCTTTGCTGAAGTCACAGTGTCAATCCATCTCCTTGAGGGTCTCATTCTCCTTTGCTGACTCTCCATATTACCAAGCATAATGTCCCTTTCCAATAAACAGCCTCTCCTTGTTACATGTCCAAAGTATGAAAGACAAAGCTTTGTCATCTTTGCCTCCAAGGAGCCCTGTAGCTGCACTTTTTACAAGACATATCTGTTTGTTCTTTTGGCAGTCCAGGGGATGTTGTTGTTGTTGTTGTTGTTGTTGTTATGTGCCATCGAGTCGTTTGCAACTCATAGCGACCCTATGTACAACAGCCCTAAACCCTGCTATATCCTGTGCCAATCTCATTGCCCCTGACACACCCATCCCGATTACCCCAGTCAATGAATCAATCCACCTCACAGAGGGTCTTCCCCTCCTGCACTGTCCCTCCACTCTGCCCAGCTTGATGTCCCTCTCCAAAGACCTGTCTCTCCTTACAACATGTCCAAAGTATATGTCAGGCGAAGCCCCAGAATCCTTGCCTCCAAGGAACAGCCTGGTTATATCCATGGGATATTCAGTATTTTTCTCCAACACCACATTCTTCTGTCATCCTCATTCATTGTCCAGCTCTCTGATGCATATAGCAGGTGACTGAGAAGTCCATATGGCCTGAATAAGGCGTACCTTAGTTTAAACTTAGTTTAAACTGACCTTAGTTTAAACTCTTCAGCATTTTGGAGAGATCCTGACAGCAGGCCTGCCCAATGCAATATGTCTCCTGACTTCTGTATTGCTGGTAACAAGGATGTTGATTGTTAATCCAAGGGAAGAGGAAATCATTGAAAGCTTCAACCCTTTCTCTATCTATCATAATGTTGACTTTTGGTCCTGTGTGGAGGACCTCGTTTTCTTGATATTGAGATAAAATTCATATCGAAGGCTGCAGTCCCTGATGTTCTGCAAGTGTTTCATATCTTCCTCACTTTCAGAAAGAAAAGTGATGTCACCTGCATAACACAGGTTGTTGATGAATCTTCCTCCAATCCTGATGCCACATTCTTCTTCATAAAGTTCCGTTTCGTAAATTATTTGCTCAGCATACAGACTGAATAAGTACGGAGAAAGGATGTAATTCTGATGTACATC